ATATATATATATATATATATATATATATATTTTGCAATGATTACAATAATGATATCAATTTTTTTTCAACAGTAACGAATCCAAAAACTATAACAGGTTTAATAATTGGTTTTTTTTTTCTCAAATCTAAGTTCTTCTTCTTGATCTACAAAAAACTTTAGAATAAATTTTCATAAAGTTAGTGCAGATTGTAACTGTAAAATAGCAAATAATTACCAACGATCATCCACGTTGTGGGCATTTCAAAATATACGTCAAAATTTGGATAAAAACTGTAGTCGTTGATTGCTCCTTCGTCTTTTAAATTTTTAAATCGCCACCAACAATAACCGGACCCTTAAAGAAAACCGACTTTTGACTTGGCAATTTTAAGTAGTATTCTATTTAAGAAGAAGGAAGTAGTCATGCAGGTGTATAAAATATAATTAAAAAGGAAAGCCAAGGAAACAATTGGTGAATACCTGCAGTTAAAGAGGTTACAACAAAGAAAATTGTAGCCCAAATAAGTAGTGGTCCAAATAGGCGCATAATAATTGTCCAAAGAAATGATATAACAGCTGTTATAAGAAGCATGATCATTATATGCCACCATGTAACACTGATATCTGCAGCTATCTTTTCAATAAAACTACTCTGTCGAGCCAATGTAGCTACCACACTGAAATACAGAATGCTTTTTTTTTTCTCCCAGCTGATATACATCAGTCACTATTGCTTGGCTTTTGTCCTCATTAAAATAAGCTAAATTAAAAATGATATTTAAAGAAGGACAAAAGAAGATCTGAAAGAATTATTGTCTTTTTTTTAGTCACTATTATCGCATAATTTAATGCTGAAAATGTTTTGATAGTCCACTAATAGATAAAAATTGTTGACTGTACTTTGAAGCATTCACTAAGGCTTGTTTTTCTGGAACAGAATCATGGAACAGGTCAGGAACATTCATCAACTGTTCATTGGACCAAATGATATTATTTTTTAGGCTTTTAACTTTATCGAACAATCCAACAGTTCCAGTTTCATTGAAACTTCTACTAATTTCTGCCACTTTCTCAAATGTATCGCTGAGAAAACCTGGCAAACAGCGACCCAAAACTGCAAACAGTATTTGTCTTAATTTTGCTTTTTCTCTTTTTTTTTTTTTTTACATCTTTGAAAGTTTGAATAAATTGTCGGTGTCCTAAAATAAAAAATGCAAAATACATTTTAATGTTTCATAAAAATTCAGTTATTTAAATGTAATTAAATTTCTTTATG